CAGCACGCATAATTTTATAATAAATGGATATAATAGCACACAATGGTATGTAAAAAGCAGTTGCCGTACTAAATATCTGTAATTGATTTGCGTCTTAATAATTTTAATATACAAAGTTTGAACAAATACTATATATCTGTAATTAGAATTTCATTCTTTCATAAACAACTGATTGAATTCAAATCTTAACAGATGTCGCACTTCTACTTTAATATTTTGTATTTCTCCAATCTAATATATTAATAGAAATTGGAAAAACACAAAATATTAAAGAAATAGAAGTGATATACATTCTTTTAAAATGACTACGAAATTATTGTTGATTTCTGGAAAAAAAGAAATCATAAAATTTTAAAAACAATTCTCTTTTTGTAAATCATTCCATAATATTATTTACACTGATCCATTCACTATAAAAGTCGTATCGTCTCAATTGATATGATTGTGAACTGATTCCCATCACAAAACTATGTGCTCTATAATTCCTAATATCTACAACTTGGCCTGAATTTTTTGCATTCAGGCCAAGTTGTAGATACTAGGAATGATTAGTTTCTTCACATCAATCAATCATAAATAGAAATTGAACCAATCTTTAGGCCTATATAAACAGGCAAACATATCATTTTTAGGGGAAAAAAACAGGATTATATGACGTTCATCAATCAATGTCCAAATAAAAGAAATAATCTTGAATTTTTTAAAAGAATGTTTTGAAGTTTATATTGTTATATTTTGAAGTTTACTTACTTCAAAAAGAATTAGTTCAAATGCAATTGCTCTCATAATTCTAAAAGATGGATAAATTTCTAATCCTTCTTTCTAAAGCCATCTTATATCTTTTAATTTATTTTTCTTTTTTTCTGTTAAACTGCAAACGATTTTCTTTAGCTTTTTTTCATTAAAAAGAATCAGTTAAAAAAATTGCTATTGTAAGAAAGATATTGTTAGAATATCATTCTTGTTTCTGTCATCATTTTTAGATGAAAACAAATTTTGATGTATACAATTTCTAAAGTTTTATTTTATTTCATTATCTTGCTCATAATAACAAGGAAATTGGTGACAAGTAAATAATAGTTAAGAATTAACAAGATATATAAATGAATTAATTAAATGAACGAAATAACTGGTTGCAAAGAGAGAGGGAGAAAGAGAGAGAGAGAGCGAAAAAGATAAAGTTTATAAATATTTACTTTAGCGAGAAATGTACTACTTAAATTGTATTTTTATTACACTCATAAAACCTATAATTAGAAAGTAGAAAAAGCTCTGATGATAATTTACCTGATAACTGATTTGCTGACTAATAAGGCACACACGTTGCTCCATAACCCGTCGATAAAAATCATTATCTTTCCAGCCAAACATTGGAGCCAATGAAATGAGTAATGATAAGAGCCAAACAATGCCTAACATGCAAAATATACGATTTGGTGTTCTATTTTGCACATATGATACATCCGTAACGCTCCAATAACGATCTAACGCTGGAAAATGATTTAATTTTGAACTTTAGGCTTCCTCTTTTTTCTACAATGTAATAATATAAGGCCAAGAAATACCTATTGCTACCAAATGAAGAATTGAGCTTGTACAAACTAATACATCAACACTAATCCAGAAATCACATAATTCTACACCAAATGTCCATGTACGTGTTACTGTTGACCAAGCACCTAATGGTGTCACTATTACACCTACCTGAAAATTGAAACAAATTAGATCAAATTTATCTTGAAGGAAATATTTAAGGTGATCATTTTCCTAATTTCCACATGCAACCCACGTCATAAAGCAAATCATATAATGCCATTCGAAAGACTTGGAAAAATATGATCATCGAATAAAATTAATTAAATGATTGTTAAAAGATAAAAAAATCAATTTAGCATGAAATGAAATAATTTTATTTAATGATATTTTTTCTTTTTCTGTGCAAGGATTTATTTCTTCCAAAAAGATTTAAATTTTAATGTGAAATATTAGGAATTTTCTTTTTTTGAAAAAATTAAAACAAACTAATAAATCAGCAATAGCGAGCGAGAATATAAGATAATACTGCGGTCGAGTTTTGAGATCACGTTCAATGAGAATTGCAACAATAACAAACAAATTGCCAATGATACATGCCATAATGAGTACAGCTAAAAGTGCTCCAATGGTTGCCATCTATAAATTTAATTCGATTTGATTTAAATTTGTTCAATTTTTAGTGTGACCCTGAGAAAGTCATATTAAAACTATCTCTTCTTATTCTTTTACAATTGGTTTAATATAAACTAAATCTTTTTAAAATTTGCAAAATATATAGTCAATCGTTTCTCCCCTATTTTACTTATTTCCTTGCAATTATTAATCCAAAATTTGGAAACAGCCCCTAATTCATCATCGAAAAACAAATACAACAGTCGAATATTATTCGGTTTAAAAATTAAACCAATTAATTCCTCTATAAAATATATCAATATTTATTTGTGTGAAAAATTATATTAATATTTCATATTAAAGAAAGGGCAAAGTATGAGGCGTAAATTGACGGTTAACTTTTAAACAAATCTTTTCCTTTCTAAAAAAAAAAAATAATATAAGCAAAAAAAAACGATTTTCTCACAAAGCTATTTTGGCTAAAAATTGAAGCTGAAAGGAAAAAGAAGAAAAAAACCAAAAGGATAAACAAAAATGTGCAAAAGTTTGCAGAAGTCAATATAAAAGTAAAACGATTGTAAACAAGCATACAAAATTATCAACTTTTTGTTTAAATGAATTAGAGCGTACTAAATCAAATTTCAAAACCAAAAATGATTTTTTTTTAAACGACTGGAAAATAATAACGAAATGTCAAATGAAATTATGACATGGAAGAAAATAAGAACAACAATCTCCGCGCTATTTCATTTCTCAAAGCTTTTTAACTAGATTGGTTTATCGTAATTAATTTTACGTTTAACATTTATCAAATGTTATTGCATTTAATTGTTATTGAAATAACAGTTAAAAACAATAACATTTGGTTAATTACATATTTGAATTTAATTTACATCTGATAATTATATATTCGAATTTAGGTTATTTTTCTTTGATAGACATATTCGCAAAATATTTATCTCTATATCATCCTTCAATATATGTATTCAGTGTTACTGAGAAATCTTTAATGTTTACATAACATATTGATATTTTCATTGCTTCTTCACTGATACGACATGAAATCTGATATATCATAAATCTGTTATGTTCATCGATGATAAAAATTTACACTTTTTCTAATGCATAATAGAAATCATTGCAATTTCCATTCCATTACTTTTATAATATTTTCAGCATATTAACTTTTAAAATATTAACAAGTAGTAAGTAAAAAATTAATTAAATTTTTCTGACTTATTGATTGAAATAAAATGAGAGAAAATGAGAAGGAAAAAAGAGAAAGAGAGAAACGTCTTTTTTTAACATATCAAATTTTGGTTTAATAAATTAATCATAAAAATTATAGCAACATTATTGAAAACATATAACTCTGCCAGTTTTAATTGCAAAATATATGACTGTGGAAATCAATAGATTTTCAACTACATTAAAAGATGTAAACAAGTTGAATAATAAAAAAAATGAAATTAAATGTCAGAGATTTTACCTTCAGTGCATCAGCTAAATCTTCTCCTTCCGTTAAATTTAACATCACCATAACAGATTGTGAAATGGCTTCTTCCAGCATAGAAGTATCATATAATGTGGCATCATTCATTGTTAAATTTGATAAATCCATCATATAATTTTTATGTAATATTGAAATAGCAATAATTAGCTGCTCTTCCCGTAAAAATATTTGATTCTAATCGTTTGTTCACTTTGTTATATTACTCGTTTCATACTTGCTAAGGCGATGATGAGAAATAAAACAACCCGTTGTTCTGTATCTGCCTGTAAATAATTTTAAAAAAATTTTTTAATTTAGAAAATTTTAATTTTAAAACGCGATTGCAACGCAATAATATTTCTCTCGCAATTTCCACTCAGAAATATTTTAAAAAAAGCACAGTTATTAATTGTGCAAGAAAGCACTTAAGTGAGTGTTTTTTTTTTAAAGTAATATTAGAGCTAAAATAATTTTGTTTAATTTGATGAAATATTATCTCAATTTAGAATAACATATTTTGAAAGCAATTAAAATAATAACAGCAAAATGGTATGATAAGTGAAAAATACAAGTTTTTAAACATATAGGAATTATCTGACTAAAATTTGTAAATTAGATTTACGAATAAATTCAACAAACAGAAATTCAATAAAATTACCATCACTGTTTGCTGGTTTGTTTATGCCAATTTTGCAAAGATAGAAAAGGCATAAACAAACTAGCAGTTCAAAACTGGCATTTACAAAGATATCTTATAAATAAGTAAGATTGAGAGTTTTATCATAAATTAAATCGAATTCAGTTTGTAATGAATGTAGATAACTTCTGCTAATTTTACTATGATCTCTTAGCCTCATTATATATTCTTGAATATTCGCCGTGTTCTCGGAAAAAAAGGAAAAAAAGAAGAAAACACTTTAAAAAGAAGTTAATTTAAAAATAACAGGGGAAGAAAATGAAAAGTATTTGACAAATTTGAACTCAAAATTAAAAAAGAAGATTGCTCGCAGTTTAATTCTTTGTTTTTATTTTCTGAAAAGATGGACAAAGATGTAAACATGTAAAATATATACATCTAAGTATTTCGAATTAAAGCTTTTGCCATTTAATTTAGCAATCAAGCCAAAGATAGCAGTTTGAGAATAAAAGTGAATTCACACTTAGGCTGATGATGTCAAGAAAATAGCCTAGGCAGTTTACTAAATGTAATAGCAGCGTACTAGTTTAAAGTTGCTGTTCCAGAAAATGCCTAGAATAAGAAATAAACTAGAAAGTGGCATTTAAATAATAATAAATTAAAGGCTGGTATTTAAAATTATGTTAGAAAATATGAGCGTTTGGATACAGGGATAAAATTTGGCCTTAGTTAAAGAAAGGAAAAGAGACAGGCTGGAAATACCTAAGAGTATTAGTGATTTTAGTTGAAGTTTTTTATACTTTGTTCTTCTGAAATCTTGACTCGATTGTTTCGAATCTGTAATGCAATGAAGATCGCGCTGAAAGGTTAAATAATTTTTTATAGTTCACATTTTTTTAATGAGATGTTATTCTATGATAAATCAAAAATGCAAATTTTGATTTTCTCAAAGATCGTAAAAAAATTGTTGAGTCTTTTTTCCTTCGTTTTTTAAATGGAATAATGAAATTTTAATTAAAAATATTTACGAATAATATTTATAATATGAATAATTTACAAAAAGTATGCATTCAATTTAAAATTTATAATTTATCGATATTTCCATAAATTTTATTTATGGAAATAATAGTGCATCTCTACTTTTCTTTTTTTGGAAATTGCATTTAAAAGAAAAAAATCAGTATTGCATGCAATTATTTGTCATCTGTTATTGAGCTGATCACGGGAGCAATTACTCTTTTTGTGCATTCACTGTTAATAAAGATACGTTATTGTCCTCATCAAATTTTGAAAAGTTCTATCAGATGTCATTTAATTTATACTATCAAATAAAAATTTATGAAAATTGAGGGTAATGAGGATAAATAATATTATTAGTCTTAAACAGTGAATCTATTAGGATTTATTAATTTGTCCACTTTATTATAATAAGTCTTGTTTTTTAAAATATATACATTTTGCTCTTTTTTGTCATCTAAAATTATTTAAGAAGAGATAGTTGGAATTAATAAATTCTATCCTACAATTTTTTTGCAATGAATGGAGGGAGGTGTTAGAAAAGATGATAATAAGACATTGATTAGATCATGATAAGAAAGTAAATGATAATGATAAGACTATTTAGTGATATATATAGGCCATCGATTGTTATAGTAAAATCATTGAAGAATTCATTGAGGAGTGCATGAATGATGCAATCTTTATAATTGATAGATCAGACTGCATGGTGCAAAAAAAAAGTCACTGTTCAGTGATTCACCACATTTTCAATTAATTCGATTTGTCAACATGTGGTTTTTGCAATGTCTGACATGAGAATTCGAAATATGGAGTTTTAAAATGGGCTTGTTTTTCCAGCTGCAAAATCGAATTTTCAATATTTCGAAATCTTTTTATATTATTCTTTTAGAAGAGGCAGGCACTTCACTTTCAGTCCTCACAAAACGTGAATTTTCAGATAATTCATACGCTTTGATATAGACATATCACAATACATATCTTTAAGATTTCAATAAAATCTAACCTATCTAATCACTCAATTCAATTTATCCATTCCAGCATGCTTTTTTATCCATTAATGAATGTGATAACGTGTGAATATGATCCGAAAATATTGTAAGCGTCAATAAAGTATTTTCAGGCATTTGATGTTAATCAAAGGAAGAACAAATTCATTTTTGTGAAATGATGATAAAGGATCAGATGGAAAGATAAGATGATTAAACCTGAAATATTATAATTAAGTGATTAAATGAACAATCATTAGCATGAATTTAAATTAGTAAAAGTCTTCAACGCTCCATGTTTTTCAGGTAAAAAGGAATATTGCGCACGTTATGCGTATGTAAATGTGAAGGTTATAATATTGCGCCGTAAAAGAAAGAAAGGAAAGAGAATAGTGAGGAATAAAGGTAAAAACAACCAAAATATAAACATACGTTAATTTATGTATTATTCCATTTTTTTCTCATGCATAACATATGCGGCATTCATTTATGCTAAATTCATACTAAAAATTGCCTATTTCAAGCCCATTAAGAATATTGAGATCAGAGTTGTTATTGTTGATGCTTGCATTGGAATGACTTCTAATAAATTTTTCACTTGCTACTATTACTGTAATATGATTTCGGTTAGTTGACTTAATACAGTTAAATTTTCAAGTTTTTGCTAATTTTGGACAAAAAATATAAGCCCATTCATAATGCGATGTATAAGTGTAGCAGAAAGTAGCTTCATTGTGCATTTGAAATTTACTGATTTGAAATTTCATTCAAAATTGAATAAATAATTATCATATGTGATGTGATTGCAGTTTAGTTTCTTTTAAAAAAATTTTTTTTCAATGTTAATTATAAGGTTTTATCTTGACAAAAGAAATTTATTTCTATTAAAAATTAAATTATGTCAGTTGTGAGAACAAAAAAAATTTGTGCACGATAATTAGTTTGCACAATGTGATTAAAATTTGAGAACAAAATCTATTTTGCATTAAATATTGACTGAAATTAATTTTTCTTCTTTCATCTGCGAAAATATGAACTTATATATTATTCAGAAAAAATTTTTCGTTGCTGCCATAAAATTGTTAAGAATTCCTTCGCTCCCTCAACAATTTCTCCATTTGCCAAGAATAGTAATTCGATTTCTTCCATTTGCATATATTTATCACAATTCACAAATGCATTAGAAATATTTTCTGACAAAAATTACATGGAAAAGATCCTTCATTAAACGAGAATTCAAAATCAGATCTTTTCATTTTATACAAATTTATTGAGCAGGCTATAAGGGTAAATTTAATGTTCAAAAGTTTCAAAAGAAACCGCGATGGTGGTCAGAAATGTGATAAAAATTAATATTGAATGACCTGGGAGTTTTTGTCAATCCTAAATTTTTGCCACAAAAAAGAAACAAATTCTCGATTTCACACTGGTTTTAAGAAAAGTTTGCTTATAAATTTTTAAGTGTTTTGACACATATCGAAGAATACTAATATTAATTTGTTCTTTTTTGAATATTAAATTAAATCTTATCAAATACATCAGCAAATCATATTTTGCGAACAAAATGAAAGCTTATAATAGTTTATTCCTGAACTATTCTTATTAATGGTAATCGATGAATTTAAAAGGTAATAAAGCTAATGTGAAGTAATAATAATCCTCCATATTTTAACAATAAGTGTTATCTAAAACAACAGTTGCTACGACTCCTTTAAAATACAACTTTAAATATTGCATTACGAAAGAATTGAAAATATCGAATTAGGAGAAATAATTTTGATGATGCATGCAACATGTTCCCATACAATTTTCTCCCTTTATTCCGGTAAATAAATTTATTCCTAGAAATTAAATAATCAATTAGTCTTGACGAAATTATCGATTCTTTTCGAAAATTAATGTAAAGTTTATGATGATGATATGTTGCTATATTAAGATTAAAATATATAATTGAAAAAGAACTGCTAGACAAATGATATTAAATTAACATAAACATTCTGAAAATAAGAAATACTCTTGAAATAATGAAAATTATTAATTTATGCATGTCTTTTTTAAAATTATAAATTTTATTATAGTTGTTAACATTCATATAACAGTAACAATCATCTGTTTTCGTTTTCAAAAAGGATTATTAGGAGTTTTATGATTGTTAGCGAAGCATTCTAGAAGAAGAGGGACAAATCACAATTTCATTATTTTTAACCTATTTTCCATCTATCAACATGTGTCAATAAGCCATTCTGAAGTTTCCTTGAGAGAGTTGGTCTATCGTTCTTATAAGGACCGCTTCACGATACGATTAAAAGAATGAATATTGTAAATATTAACAAATATCTGGCGAAATTCGGATATGAGAAAATCGTGGATGATGATTGACAACTATAAATTGAGGCTGTGTTATGATATAATGCTCTCTGCATCAGATGATATTTGCTCAATTGACATATCGCATACTTGTTTGT